GAGGCCCTTGTGTTCTGTGTGTATGATATCCGAATACATCCTTTGTTTTATTCTTGAATTAAGATTAATCGACTGAATTGACACATATTATATTATTGTTCTGCAAAGCTCGGCTTCCTGAGAATTGCGAAAATTCCCATCAAATGATTTAGAAGAATAGTTTGGCGAGTGTACGTATACTTTTGAGAAATTCTCGTCAGGCCTTACATTTATGTGGTGAATGGGTGCAAGTTCAAACGTGCTCGTTTTTTCGGACAAGTGAGGCGTGGGAATGGGCGTGGGGGTCGATAACCGAAGGCTAGTTTTGAGAGTAGGGTTTGATGGAGCGGTCTAGGGGAGGGAGGAGTGGGGAGGTTGACGAACAAAGTGTGGATGACTGTATGTTGCCAAGTGACTGTGGGCCGAGCTAGCTGTGGAGCTTGTAGGAAGTTCTTTTGTGCACATAACGCGGACTTTATCAGCCTGATAGCAATCGCTTCTGCTGCTTGTAGCAGGCGTCGACCAAGGGACTTTGGATAATGTGGTGGGACCTTGTAGATCACTCGAAAAGCTTCGCTGGGGTCCACTCGATGCCCGGAATCGACAACGTGCTCCAGAATAGAGCTGTTTGTGCTCCTGACTTCACCTATATTCAGCCATGACGGGAGATGTTCCTTTATCCTTTTGGCTAGGCGCCGGCTCGTGCGACCAATATAATCTGCTCCACAGGAGCAAGTGAAAAAGTAGATGCACATTGAGGTGGTCTGAGCTGGTAACCTATCCTTACCTTCCCCATGTAATTTTGGGTTGGTTGAGAACAATACCCGGACTGTGGCTGCTGAAATGGTTCTGAAACGGCTAGGTCAAAGCGTCTTTCCAGAAGTTCACTTGCTGCGTTCCCTAGAAAGGGGACTTTAAGCAATAGTGTTTTCTTTTCTATAGTAAGTGCGGTGGTTTTATTTGTTTTTCCGCCATATTCCTTGTTATATATCTCTCTCCGGATACCCGTTCTCACTAACTAGGTCCTCGATTTTCTTGAGCTCCTCCTCCATACTGTTTGCTGAGATAATTTTTAAAGCCCTTTGCACTAAGCGCTGAAGTCGATTCCGCTTCTGCTGAATGGGTACGAAACTGTTAAAATGTGTGTACTGTCCAGACCAGGTTTTTTTCGATACACGCTCCTGCGGACGCTATTGTCAGATCTACGGCTTAGGAGAACGTCCAAGGAGGGAAGCGAACCTGCCTTTTTCACCTCAAACTTAAAGTTAATGGATGGATGTGCTTGGTTGAGCGCATTTAAGAGTGTGTCTGCATCAGTTTTGAGTGTGGCGATCGCAAATATGTCGCCAACGTAGCGACCATAGTTTTTTAACTTGTGGATCTGATCA